GTCCAGGGTCGGCTTCGGATTGCAAGTTCATCTGTTTTTTTTCTGTCCTTTCTCCGCTGCTTTACTTACCATATGTTGCATCTAGTTAGCATCTCCTAAAGCTTGCTACTTATTTTAAAAACTCTTTATGTATTAGGGATTTATTAGGCAAGTTCAAAGTAGGTATTTTACGGGATGTTCTGCAAGTGTTCGCGAATTGCTAAAATGTAGTATTAGTGCAGTCTAGTCTTCAGGCTGAAGGCCCTATGATGACGAAGGCCGTATAGTTAATATGCAATTAGATAATAACAAATGTCTCCTTCCATGTCAAAATCTGTGATTTTTCATTTGTAAAAAATTGTTTTAATTTACGACTTCCAATTGGTAGCCTTTCGTAAATAGGTATAGGTCCATTACTTCTTATTTTTTTATTGTAGACAATAGTTCACCAAAGATTCATCATAATTGGATGATTTTTGTTGAAAAAATATCAAAAATTTTTCATGTTTCTTCTATCGATTTTCGGATGGATGAGACTCTTAATTTTGGTTTCCTCTTCAAACTTTGAACTTCCTTTTGACCTAAAGTTGAATTTTGATAAATTGTTTTTAGTGGGTTTAGACATCAGTAATAGACCAAAAGCTCTTTTATGTTCACAGGTTTAATAACGATTTCGGTTAGACGGTTATTTTTTTACAAATTTACACAATACAACAGTAACTTTTTTATTGTTTAAGTATCATGTAAGTAGGAAATTTGCAAAAACTAATGCGATGGCCGGGAATCGAACCCGGATCAACTGCTTGGAAGGCAACTATGCTGACCATTACACCACCATCGCATGTTGTTTATAGAAATAATAGCCAAAAGTGTGAATATGTTAATATTATAAATCATCCTTTCACATTCGTCCTACTTTAGCATCATCGTCCGAACTGCTATCTGCAATACAGTTAATCATCGTCAGTCTTATTACCTTGTAGTTTAGCACTTGCTGATTCTACTTTCTGCGTAGTATGATGAGAATAAATCATGAAATTTCAAATAAGACACTGAATTAGAACAAATTAGGAACTAAAAAAAGGCTAATTAATATAAAATGAAATAAATAATAATGAACATTATTGGATAATGGCAGCATATCGCCATCTACTGACATTTGCTGCTAACTTAATTATGGCGTGCTGATGATATCAAGTGATTGAAATAGCGATTCAATAAGAAGTTCAATTCAAATAAGAAGTTTCGAAATGTCAGATTATGGCTCCTCGAAATCGACCATCTCTGTCAAGTACCTCGTGGAAATTTTATTTTGTGTAAAGAAAATGTTAGAAGCCTTCGAAATGTGGTGTTACCGGCGAATAATGAGGATACCGTGGATAGAGAAATTAAGAGGTATTAGAAAAAATAGAGGACTCTATGGAAGTCAATAAGAAATAAGCGAGATAGGTCAGTAAGGCACCTTCTCAGGCATGAAGGTCTAGTCAGAAACATATTAGAGGTAGGAACAAACAGGAGTTAAAAGTAGTAGATTAGATTACTGTTCGCAAATGATTTAGGAGGAATGTTCTAGTTTTAGGGAAATGCGAAGATTAGCTCGGGATAGGAAGGAGTGGAGGTGCGTGTCCAACCAGTTTTAGGACTGAGGAATTTATGATGATGGTAAGGTTTGGAATATGATGTTACAGACGAATTATGTACAGAAAAGGTTAGAAATGAGGAGATATTAGAAAGATTAGAAGAATAAAGGGCGTTATGGAAGTCAATAAGAAACCTTTCTCACCTAAAGGTCTAGAGACATAGTAGAAGCAGAAACAGGAGTTAAGATTAGTAGAGGTAGACCTAGATTACATTACTACACAAATAATTAGGGATATGGGATGTTCTAACTTTAAGGAAATGCGAAGATTAGCTCAAGATAGGAAAGGGTGGAGGTAGGGGTCCAACCAGTCTTAGTACTGACGACCCCAATATGATGATGATGATGATGAGGTATTTTGTTTTCAATCGGAATTACATTTTTGAATAGGTAAATTTTGGTTTATTCTGTTCTGTTTATTTTTTGTGTATCTAGTTTTACGTTTAACAATTGAACATGCATACAATTTAGACATCTTTTAGAAGTGAGTTAGTTTAATATGAAATATTATTCTGAAAATTTATTTTTGAATTTTCAACCCACTACAAACTACTTCAAATTAATGAGGAAAAAATTGTTGCTGTTGTCAGAATAATATTTCATATTTAACAATTAAATTTGTAAAGTTTAATGGCAAAAATTTGACATTTTTGGTAGGTAATTGTTTTGATTTGCTTACCCCTAAATTTAATTATTCTATACTAGAATATCTCTCGTTTTACTCTAATTATTGATGAAATGTACCCTAACTCTCAAGTCTCTAAATCTCTTTTCAATTTGCTCCTCTTTTTCGACGCGTTTTGTTTCAACACGTAGCGTTCGTTTTCAGGAACTTAACCAGTAATGCGTTATATGTGTTCCTTGAAAATCTATGAGACCCCATGTTCGTATAAAGTTTCACGGTCGCTGCATTTGTGCAAGTTATGTTTATGAGCCCGATCCCGCAAATGCCCACTCGTTGTAGCGTAAAATTCGTTACGTTTCTGCTAACTTGAATATAAGTTGGTTGGCATGTATTCTGTTCAGTTCTACTGTTACGGTATTTTTCCTGGTAAAAATTCATGTGCGAATAGGATAAATATTTAATTAAATTAGTTATTGTCTGGAGGCGATTGTACATACATAGCTAACAGATGCTGTTGGTACTTAAAGGAATTATGAAAAAATAATTTCTGAAAATTTAAATTCACCTATATGTAAAGCAAATTTAATTTCCCTATAGCTACACCAATTTCCTATTTTATTCTTCGACGTCTTTTCAGAGGGAAGCAGTTTTATTCTTTACACTTGAAATAAGTTGATTTTTAAGGGGTCAGTATTTTTATTTTTTTGAGTACAAGGAGCTGTTCATAATTACGTAAAATGTATCAATTGTTGACCCCCTTTCCCCATGTAACAACATCGTAATGCCTAGCTTCGATTCCACTTCCTAACGATTGTGATACAGAATCCGTGAATTATAATACATTAAGGCTTCATAAAATACCACAGATGGCGTGGTAAACGCCATCTGTAGTACAATGCTACATTTAGTGGAATTCATAATGCTCAATAAGGTCCATTTAAATATATATGGATATCTACTTGCTGAACTGAATCCACGGCGTAGCTCACCAGTACGTGGTAGGAACGTTACCAAAATCGAACAAATAAAGGAAGTGGTCAGTGTTCGCGCTGATGAGATCCAAAAAGATCGAAATCGCGACTCGCGTCTGGCAGTTTCGACAGAACACTGACCACTTCGAATTTGTTTGTTAGGTTTTAAGGCTTCAATTCGGAAAAGAATGATTTTTCAGTTTTCAATAATAATAATTCACTTATCAGTTGAACCCCACCTCCTCCTATGTAACAGGACCGTAATGCCAGACTACTTCCTCCCTCCAATTAGTCTAGTTGTTTAATTTATAGATGACTGTCGACCACGGTGCAACGTGATGGCTGCCTACCGCCATATTACATTCTTCACTTATAACACCAGAACTACTTAATTGACACTTTGTATCTACGTTCCTGTATTCCCGCATTCGCTATTTGGGCTTCGGTTAGTTTAATCACAGGCTGTTTGCATATTTGCCGTTATTGCACAGCAATAATCTAAATATTCTTCGTAGGTAGATACTACTTTTTCTACTTTAGATTTTTGATATTTCATATGTAATTTGAATATTATTGGATATATTTTTGTGGCCTTTGGCTCGTCGGAGCCCTGCTTCGTAGAAAATTGGATTTCATATATGAAACTCAATATTCGTATGCGTAGGGTATGATATTTTATGTATACTTCTCCTTAAGGCAATAGGGGATGTCATATATTAATTTTAGTTTTCATTTTTACAATCCTATAGATTATCAGGAATGATCATACTTGTAACTGTAACTGTGAATCAGTGTACAGTTGCAATTGGTTTATGTTACCCTTAAAATCAATAAAAAAGTGTGTTTAAAATATAATATGTTATTTCATCAAATGGAGTTTTTCAAATTAAACAGAATATTCATGCATTACTTTATGAAGTTGTTGTTTTTGTAGAATTCAACGGTCCATTATAGAATTATCAAAACAATCATAATATAATAAAACAATTCGAAGTGATCCGCATTATGTCGAAACCGCCAGACGCGGATCGCGACCCCGATCCCCCTGGATCTCATCAGCGCGGCGCAGGCAGCCCCGACAGAACACAGACCAACCTCCACCTGCTGTCTTAACAGCGCGTTCCAGAAAATACTACAAAAGGCGCGGTAAACGCCATCTGTAGTACGATGCTACATTTTACTTTTGTGCATGCTCCAACAAGGTGTACTTGTGTGGATATCTACCTGCTGAAACGAACCCCAACGTGATAGGCACGCCACCACAATCGAATAAAACAATTCGAAGTGGTCCGCATTCTGTCGAAATCATAATATACTTTGACTCATTATAGAGTACAGTAGGCAGATGAAGACCTCAAAGAAGTCCAGTGAATAAGTTTAAATGTTTTAAGTTTTCTTTAAAAAAATTGCATTTTGTTGGAAGCATCAGTTTAAAATATTTTCTTTTAGAGAGCCTGATTTATCTATGATTATGGTTCTTTATAAACAGTATTTTTAGTGATTTACTTACCGCGTTAAATGAGTTAAATGTTTTTAAAATGCAGGAGTATCATTTGTACTCAGTTTAATTTTACTTCCAATGGATATTAATACATCTATTAAAAAATAATTAGTTTTATTTGAAATTGTTAGTCCATTGTTGTTGTACGTGCTGATATAATGCGTGGAAGTTTAGCGGGATTATTAAGTATGTGAAACACCTTAATGAGTTTCATCATTACTCTAAATGTATTATGGCACTCGGTTTTAGATTTCAGTGAAAGTTTTCTTGTCTGTCCTTCATAAATTCACCTTAAACTATGTTATTTATTGCACAAATACTTAAACTATTTACAAAATAAAAATTTGCTGATGATATACCAACAATTTTAATAATATTGCGGCGCTCCTGACCTGGCCAAGGCACGACTGTATTCGGCGAGGTGTTGTTGCTTGATTGCCTCAAATTCCGGTGTTTCTTTCACCTGCCCGTTTGGGCCGAATTCGGGCAGTCGTCCGTTCCAGCGATTCTGGTTCCACTGGTTGGACGGGGGCGGATTCCATTGCGATTGGGCTGGGGGATTCCATTGCGACTGGGGAGCTGGGTTATTGTAGCCACCCTGCCACACTCCTACTTTGGGAGCGGCCGTTGCGTAAGCTTCGTTGACTTTAGCCAAGTGGTGTTGCCTTTGGGCTTCTACTTCCGGAGGTTCTCGTGGTACCCCGTCGGGCCGTAGGACGGGGACGTGAATCGGGCCTCTCCATGGTGGCGGCGTGGCGTATGGGTCTGGTTGGGGGTAGTAAGGGTCGGGAGCGCCGTAACAATAGCCCGCCACGAAAAATAATAACAATGCAAAAATCTGGAACAATAATAAAATCTGATGAATTTGGTCACAAGCAAAATATTAAAATTAAAATGCCATTCGTTACTAATGTGAATTTAATTTGGATTTAAATTTAAAAGTGATTACTTTATTTAGTGATAATCGCGTTAGGTAAAAGAAAAATGTTGCTGATCGTAAATATTTTAAGTAATATTATAAACGCAAATGTGAGTTTGTTTGTTTGTTTATTACTATTTCACGCCATAACTACTCAACCGATCATCATGAAATTGTGTACACGCATTGACGTGAGTAGAGAAAAGGACATAGAGTACGTTTTATTCAGAATATAAAAACTGTTCCTGAGGGACAGAAAGGTTAGTTTTATGTCGTCGATGGTCTTTTACACGTATTTAGAACATCAATGCCAAGGAAACCGCGAGTAAAGCCTAGTTACACATAAATACAAAAAATGGCAGTGGCAGATTACATGAATGAAAAGATATAGACGATTAAATTTTGGTATTTTAAAATTTTCCATTTGACATTTAGCTAAACTATAAAGAAGAATATACAGGGTGCAACAGAAATATGTGTCGAACTTGCAGGAGGTGATAGAGCATTGTTAAACATGAATATTAGGTAGATATTTCCATGTCCGAAAGTTCACCGTTTTCGAAAAAAATGTAATTGAAAGTAAAGGTAAATTCGATTCCGGCCCTGTTAGAGAGATAGCGCCCGCAACGCTGCACTCAATCAACTGGTGATTGCCAGCATCAGTGTAGTTTTTGTTTTATATATTTTTGTTCATGTATTGTTCATTTGTTAGATTAGATTAAGTGTAGTTTAGGGTGTTTATGTTAACAGCCAAACTCTATTAGTAACCGTTTATTCTTTTAAAGTTTAAAAACTTGTATGAGACAATCGATGTACAGTTCAAGAAACTAATTCAGCATTACAGCGTCAATCATTAATATAGGTCAGTTACTGTAGTAAATTTGTTGTTAAAATTCATGTGACGTAATACGTATTTACGGGTTTGAACCAATATCGCTGCTGTAGGCAGTGGCGGATTATCCATAAGGCAAAGTAGGCATATGCCTAGGGGCGCAAGGTTAAAAAGGGGTGCGCGCGGAAGGTTCTAAACCTAAAAGAAAAATAAGGAAGTACCTAATAAAAAAAAAGTATTTTGCAAAATATACGACCGTCAGAGGGGCGTCTATGAGGTGCTAGCCTAGAGCGCTCTTAACATTTAATCCGCCTCTGGCTGTAGGGATGAATTTCTCGATTTAATGCCCAGAATAGTCCACGCGAAATAGTAGAGAACGTTGGCTCCTTTCAGGCAACAGTTGCTGCATCCTTATCATTTGCAACGAGTGCAAACCTTGCCTGAAACTGACTTTTAGTCGCTAGTGGATTTGTTCCGTTAGTTTCGAAATAAAAGAAAATTTTTTCCATATTAGGGTTGTTTACAGACAAATTTGCTTCAGGCGAGACAGAATTTTAAATTTGAATCCTAAGCGATTTCAAGAATTCTTTTCAGTAAATGCGGGGTGCGAAATTTTTGGAGACTCATTTGATTTTCAATTTTAATGTGAAAATTCATTTTCGATTTTCTATCCACTAAAAACTATTTTGTTGCTGTTCGATTCCCGGCGAGGGTGTGACAACAGCAACAAAATATTTTTCCTCATTAACCTGAGGAAGTTTGTAGTGGATAGAAAATCGAAAATGAATTTTTACATTAATATTGCATATTAACCATTATTAGTAATGTCACAAAAATTTTCAAGAACTACTATTCCCTATAACAAACTTCCTCAGGTCAATGAGGAAAACTATTTTTGTTGCTGTTTGTAGTGGATAGAAAATCGAAAATGAATTTTTACATTAATATTGCAAATTAGCCACTATTAAAAATGTCACAAAAATTTTCAAGAACTACTATTCCCTATAAGAGCCTTCTTCAGGGTCTTCTCTCTTAGCTAAACGAAGTTTGGTTCAATTAAACCTTCATTATAATTAATTAATAATCACATGGTGTCAACAGGACATTCGCAAATCAAAAAATCATTGTGAATGTACTGTTAGAACCTTGTTAAAATGAGAAATTTGGACGACCGCTCATTAATAATGCTGTTTCTATAAAAGTTATATGACTAGGTATTTGATATGAAATATTATTCTGAAAATTCATTTCTGAATTTTCAACCCACTACAAACTGCCTCAAATTAATGAGGGAAAAATTGTTGCTGTGGTATTTGAATTAAGTGAAAAGACGATTCAAATGTGCTATATCTTACTCAAAAAGTTGAATCTGTTCAAAGCTACAAAACCGGAAAACTGATGTATAAAAATACGGTTACTTTAATTTCCCTTAATCGAGCATAAAACAGTTTAAAGAGCCAACAAAAACAAACACGTAAAATAATTGGTGCATTTCCAACAAACAAATAAACTAAACATTAGAACGTAATTTTGTGGTTTTTAATAGTTTTCTAGACACACACAACGAGCTAATTTGAATAAAAATTTCATACATTATAGTTAACCGTACTTGCCACCAAATAACAGTTGTTAAAGTTTATTTCGTGTAAAAATATGTTAACGACTTTAACTTATTATCAACTCAACGGCAGCAACAACAATAACAAAAATAATAGAATAACTAAGTACTATAACGGGAAATATTTGTAACAATATAGTGGAAAGAACTCAGCCATCAGGCTTGATTGCAGCCGGTTCAATATTTAAAAGCAAATCGAGTGTATAATCGACAGGCATTGCGGTTGTTCACTTAATTAAATTTTCCCGCTTTTACTAAAAACCGTTCCGTAGTAATTATAATGCATGTTATTTAAGGAGCAGGTATTAAAAGCGTGCCACTAGCCAAACAAGTTACTACTTCTTACTTCTACGATCATTTCACTATGTAAATTCATACACACGTTGACAATAATCCTAGTGCAACCGCCATTACCTACCTAGATATAAATTCATTTTTTTCTTTTTAAATAAAGAAAGGCAATACAAGCATGCATGCATGCATAAATGCCTACTAGATATGCAATGGACGTGATTATAAATTGCGGACAGCGGGCACTGTTAGTTATACGATCAAAATTGCACGACCTCTATTAACCGTTACCTGTATGTAGATATGTACAAATGTCCAAAGAAATACTATTACAGATGTTAATGAAATTAGGTGAAACATAAATAATACTTATTATATTAATCATAATTAGACTGAAACGGTTATGTAAAGGATTTAACGGTGTAATATTCAATGCATCGAGAAGTTGTGGCTTTAATATTATACATAGTCATTCAAAATTTAAAATACAGTGTAAACCCTTTATAACGTCACTCGATTTAACGACAAACTCCTTAAAACGTCGAAATTGCTTGACTTTGGTTGGTTTACATTGTTTTCTATACAATATTACACTCTATATAGCGTCACGCTCACTCTATTTAACGACAACAATGCGGCATTATAAATCATTAAGCAGTACTTT